TAATTCTTTTTCACTTCTTTTCCTGCTGTCTTTCTTCTTTCCTCTTACTCGTCTTTTTTTTCGTTTCTCCTCCCACCTTTTTTCCTTCTTTCTTCCTTCCCCTTCTCCCCTTTTTTCCTTTCATTCTTTCCTCCCTCGTCCTTCCTCTTCGCTCACATCCCCCTCTACCCTCCCTCTATCCTTTCCTTCCTCCCTTCCTCTTTCCTCTTCCTACCCTCCTCCTTCCCTCCCTTGTCCTTCCACTTCCTCGTCCTTCCCATTCCGTCACTCGTCCCTTCCTCTTCCTCCCCTCATCATTCTTCCCTCCCTTCTTCCTCTTCCCTTCCCCCTTCTCCCTCTCTTCCCTCCCCCTTCTCCCTCTTCTCTCCCCCTTCCCATCTTACAAAGATATCTCCCAACCCCCAACCCCCCTCCACACACACACATACACGCACACACTTCCCACTCCCACGCACACACTGACCTCGTTCTTCACCTGTTCCGCAATGACGTCATCAACTGAACAATATGACCTCCCTGGGGCGCCCATGACGTCACAACGGCGTCGGGGTGTCGTGATGTTTACACTGTGTCTACGGTGTTCCAATACAGTGATAGTAGCATTAACGTTGAGATAACAAAGAGATATTTATTTATGTCAGAGTGCAGATCGGTAATGATGAAAATATGAAGTACATACATTATATATATATATATATATATATATATATATATATATATATATATATATATATATATATATACATGCTGAATATACACGGACTTTTGCAGAAAACACACACACACACACACACACACACACACACACACACACACACACACACACACACACACACACACACACACACACACACACACACACACACACACCATCACTAATAAAATATAAAAACAAACACGACGTCTGATAATCATTAAAAAAAGTATATATATATGAAGAGATATAACCAAATCCAAAAACAAGTCCTCTGCAGCAATAATATAAAAGTATTTTTCCATAATGGACTTGAGTTTAAGAAATAAAAAAGAATGAGTTTAGTGCAAAGGACAAAAGGGATTCTGAAAGCACTAATAAAGGATTAAAGATGGAATTCAACTCCATAAGGAAGGGAGTGAAGAGGGATTCGATCTCGCTCTGCCAAGTGGTCGCTTCAGGTCTGGATGGATGGAGGAAGTCGCTCCCAGTGCTCCTTAAGAATACAAAATCACTTAAAAGAAGAAACAATCTCGAAGGGAGACACAGATAAACGAAAAGAAAGAGAGATAGGGATGATAGTGATGAAATGTTGAGAAAGGAAAGAGGTTGCTACGAATACAACGCGTGTGATGAATTTCCACTAATAAGAGAGAGCGAGATTAAGGAAAACGAAAGGCGGGGTTATAGAAAACGGAAAGCGTAAATAAAGAAAACGGAAGGCGGAGATATAGAAAACGGATTTCGGACAGTTACGTGCGATGACTGAAAAGTATTACGTTTAAATAAGATAATGAAATGGTGATTCCCAAGCATTATCGTGTGAACAGTATTAATTTCATCTTGAGGAAAACTGCTGTTACGCCTTGCTGAATCAAAAAAAAAAAAAAAGTGCTTCACGAAGAATAAAGAGTAAGGAGATGGACATAAAAGCTAAATACAATAACTAGAAAATACGTGTATACATATATTGCCCGCACAGAACAGAGAGCGGACAACTCAGTAGTGAGTGTGCGAATAAGCTAAGCTAAACGAGTGTCCGAATAAGAAGAAAACGGGGAGCATCTTATCCTCGGAGGGGAGACGATGCTAAAAGGGAGAGAGAAGTCATCTGAAGCAAGAGGAGTCAGATGCACTAAAGGGGAAGACAAGAGAACAGGCAGTTACTAAGTGTATCTACAGTTTTATTGTTTGGATGTAGTCAAATTCTTGCCTTTATATTTATTGTATTCTGAAAAAAAATGTTCCTGGCTCATGACTTTCATGATTTTTCTCCTTTGTTTTCCACCTGGTTTGTAATAAACTGATTGTTAGTTAGATAATATTCAGGTGCATAAACAGGATCTATTTCCAAGTTCAAAGAACACACACACACACACACACACACACACACACACACACACACACACACACACACACACACACACACACACACACACACAGATATATATACATTCTATATATATATATATATATATATATATATATATATATATTATATATATATAATTTTGGAATTACCAAATTTCTCTGTCCCTAGTGACCTAAAGAAATAAGTCATCAAAACGCATATATATAATCAAAATCGACACAGACTTGTACATACACCATCGCACTCTTAACAGCCAAACACAGTTACGTCACACGAAAGCGAGAACCAGCATTGCATCACTTAATATTTCCTTTATTCTTCCTCGCCACAGCACAGATTCAGTAACATTCACTGCAATAGTTTCTTCGGATAATCTTGTACCATATCAGGTGGATTTTTCCTTCATTTTAGTTCGATGAGTAAAGGAAAACCTTGTCCATGTAGAGATAAACATAACACTTCGAGCATGGAACGTTTATCTACATAATAATCATCTACAAGACACGCGCATACCTGTAATTAGCAGGGTTTATGTTTGTATATGTACGTTAGATTATTCTATATTACCTGTCAAGATTTACCTTCTGGCACGATAGCGTTATGATTTCTATTTTTCTTTATATCGATAGTAGCATAATTGGGCGACAGTGGCTGGTCTCACACGTCTGAAACTGCGCGTTTGTTCCCGAATCGAACGCTAATCAAACGCCATTTTATTCTTCGCGGAGGAACGTGGTCGGAAGTAGAGGGAATGAACGGCGAAAAAAAGTACTTTCCGAACCAACCTGCAGTTTCACGTGAGGAAGGGCCGGCCGCGCCTGTCGTTCTCTCTGTCTATCTGTGTCGAGCGTAATGGAGGAACTTCAGCGCCATCTGTCTAGCCACTCTTAAAGCTCTGATTAATCAAAAAAAATGTAGCGAGTGCTTTCAAAATAAATCAAAGTTTGTTACGAGTAATCAATCTGTCGAGTGTGATTCTGGTCCGATGGTATTTTCTCTTGAATGTCTCGGTGTCTCTGGAAAAAAAAAAATGATTCAACAATCCAAAAGAGAGTACAACTGTTCAAAAAGCTGAAATCAAAGTGGCCTGGCTGTTCCGCTAAGAGGACTGGGTCGACCGTGCCAAAACTGCAATACACTGAGCAATAGCATTGGGAGACGGAGGAGGAAATTACCCAAGTCTGCCCTCCCTTCCTCCGAGCTCTCAGGCCAGTCAGCGCGAAGCCATGAATGTAAACAAAGTAGAAATACCCAGATTGGAGATGGAAAATACAACCGTTTTTTTTTTTCCATGTAAAGATCTGCAGTAGCAACGTAGCATTCTGCCCCTTTAAAGAAAGGTTGTTTTAGAATTTTAAAAAGTAATAATAAAAAAAAAAAGCTTGCATGGAGATAACAAAAGTTGGTGTTTTTTAGCCCGTGGACACTGCTGGCTGTGAAGGGGCTTTTTGAGGTGCCCGTAGAGAGTCAACGCTTATTAGTACGTGTTTTAAGCAATGAGAAGTAATTGGTGAAGTATTTTGAAAGTGAGGAAAAAAACCTGGGTGAGTTTTGACAATAGAAAACGTGGATGGTTCCAGTAATTTCTCAATGGTGTTCGGCTCCCATTGGCTGGTAGTGTGTGCTCCTCTCTCCTATCTAAATCCTTGTAACATCTTTGGCAATCCATTCCATCTGTTTACAAATAAACTTCTAAAGAATGAAACGGTGTTTTCTTACCCGCATTTATTTCTTCTTCTTTGGATGGTTAATGTAGGTTGTGAAAGTTAATTATTTTAAGAAGCAAGAATATCTTATGATGAGGTTTCTAATCGTCATTTCTGTATCATTCTTACTTTATCATTCTCGCATGTTTTTCTCTTTTTCTTAGACTTATGAAGGTCGGAAAATTGCTGAACATCAGTTGATCGGATTTATTTTCATTGATAATAAAATCCTAGAATAATGAGAACTCAAAACTGATAGTTCCTTTATTACACAAACTTCATGGTATTCATAATGACATCAAAATGCGATTGACTTCATCGGTAATTCCAAACATTTCAACTGATTCATATAATTTAAGTTGATTAGTTGATAATATTTTGTATGGTTGTTTCACAAAAAGAGTCCTTTTAAATGCTTAATAGAAAAGGAGGAATATACAAAAAAAATATGAAAAAAGGCACAGAACTGACAATATATGATATTACAAAAAGGATGTGTCTATAGTTATAAATAATACGTGGTATTTATATCAACAACTAAACCAGCGAAGCAAATATATCACTAGAAAACAGACAAACAAAAAGTCTGGATTTTTTTTTAACCGGGCGAGCTACTCATGGAGTGGAATACAGAAAATGTAAAAGTCGAAGGTAAGGGTAAACTATGGAAGAATATAGTTTAAATTGTATTGGATGGATATCTGTATCTGTTTGTCTGTCTGTATGTTCGTCTCTCTCTTCTATCTATCTGTCTATCTATCTATTTCTATCTATCTATCTATATATATATTAATTTCTCTCTCTCTCTCTCTCTCTCTCTCTCTCTCTCTCTCTCTCTCTCTCTCTCTCTCTCTCTCTCTCTTCTCTCTCTCTCTCTCTCCCCTCGTGCGTGTTATTGTATGTGTGAGTTAGTTTGTGTACTTGCGTAATACCCAAAATCCGGGCTCTCTAAAGTAAGCACATTTTATCGCCAGACGCATCTTGACAGTCTGTAATAAAGTCTGCTTCCATTCGGCTGATATTTTTCTTTTTCTTTTCTTTTCTTTTCTTTCTTTCTTTTTCTTTTTTTTTTTTTTTTGTTGTTGTGTTGTTTCTTTCTTTCGATGGATGGTTATAGACATATATTATCCAGCTTGTGCATTGGTCCTTTTTTTCCTTCGTTCATTATCAAGAGTATAATCGGGTCATACAGTATATACAAATTGAAATCATACACTTGTTCACTGAA